AAACGCACATGTTACAAAAACCGTTTTATGCGACATTTTGGAAGAAAATGTCGCGACCCAAAACGGCGACAACCGTTTTGTGCGTTTTTGCGTAGTGCCAATGCACATGGACTTCTTACAAAACAATTTTAGGCGAGAATTCTTCCGGTAAATGCCGCGCTTATCCCCGTTCCAATTTCCAGCACAAAATGGGAAACCTTGTGCCCCGTGTAACATGTTTTTCCGGAAAAAAAACCGGTGGGGTTGGGCCTTGCATTTTGTAGAAACGGGTTGGGGCTTGCATTTTATGACGTTTCAGCGTTTGGGCGATTGAAAGTCGTTTGAAAATCGAACATCATTTTGTAGCAGGGGAAATTGCCCTTCGGAAAGCAACATGTTGAAACTCAGTGCCATTTTGTAGAAAAGACAAGTTTCCCTTCGGAAAATAATATGTTAAAACTTAATGTTCATTTTGTAGCAGTATCATGTTGTCATTTTTCGAACCCTCGGGAGATTGAGACCCATCAGTTTATAATGGCTGAAGTTAGGAACGCGCGAAAATTCTTAAACTAAATTGCGCGCCCAAAAATGAAGCAAACTCTGGCGGCAGACTTTGTGCTAGCTTACGCAGTGGAAATGCACATGAACATCCCACAAATGCAAGTTACGCGAGACCTTATTACCCCAAAAGAACAACTAGATGGAGCACCCTGATCAAGCACCGGCCTGTAGACTTACCGTAGGAACCCTTCAGTGCAGACGCGCTACTTGATGAAATATTGAGAAACAAAAAAGTGACAAGACATAACAATTTGTATGTAGGGGCTCAAAAAGTAACAGGAATTGCCTGCAAAAAATACAGATTTCGCAACAAACACACACAAAATCAGAAAAAAAGAGTCACGCAACAAGCATCGAAACAATATAAATGGAAAAAACGGAAACGGAACAGCAAAAACACAATAAGAGGTGCAAAAAAAAAACCGTGCTAAAATCTACCACCAAAAAAATCTGCCGACATGCTTGCAACCGTTGCGCGTTCCACCGCTAGCTTTGTCGCTGTCCGGAACGTAAAACTGACGATGTGTTGGGAACAGTACAAACCTGGCTATTTATTTGCCCGGGCGTGCCTTTTACACACCGATTTAATTTGACAACCGACGCATGTGGAGAACAAAACATAACAAAATCTCGTTTCCTTTTTCAGCGTAACTCGTGGCATGGGCCAGTGCTGTGACAAAAACAAGGACGTTGATCAGGTTGTGCACAATGCGGTCCATTTGTTGAAACCCTTGGGTTTTTTTTGCTTTTGGTTCCTGTGGCATAAGCAAACAACAAAAACAACTAAAACAACACACACGGCAAAGCAACAAACCCACAAACAAACAAACCAACAACCCAACAAACCAACAAGCCAACAAACCAACAAGTCAACAAACCAACAACCCAACAACAAAACAAGACAACACAAAACAAAACAAGACAACACAACAACAGCAACAACAGCAACAACAGCAACAACGGCAGCAACGGCAACAACAGCAAAAACGGCAACAAAATACAAACATACAACCATGCAACAACAATTCAACAATTCAACAATTCAACAATTCAACAACCCAACAATCCAACAGCAACAACGACAACGACAACGACGACAACAACAAAAACAACAACAACAACACCAACAGCAACAGCAACAACAACAACGACAACACCAACACCAACACCAACACCAAACACCAAACACCAACACCAACACCAACAACAACAACAACAACAACATGCAACAACAACATGCAACAACAACATACAACAACAACAACAACATACAACAACAACAACATGCAACAACAACCAACAACCAACTACAACAACATACAACAACAACATACAACAACAACATATAACATACAACATACAACATAAACAACAACAACAACAACAACAACAACAACAACCTACAACAACAACAACCTACAACCTACAACAACAACAACAACATACAACATACAACATACAACATACAACATACAACAACAACAACAACATACAACAACAACAACATACAACAACAACATACAACAACAACATACAACAACAACATACAACAACAACATACAACAACAACATGCAACAACAACATGCAACAACAACATACAACAACAACATACAACAACAACATACAACAACAACATACAACAACAACATGCAACAACAACATGCAACAACAACATGCAACAACAACATGCAACAACAACATGCAACAACAACATACAACAACAACATACAACAACAACCAACAACAACAACAACAAACAACAAACAACAAACAACAAACAACAAACAACAAACAACCAACAACAACAACAACAACAACACCAACACCAACGACACCAACACCAACGACACCAACACCAACGACAACGACAACGACAACTTCAACGACAACGACAACGACAACGACAACATAACAATAACAATAGCAATATAATAACAGTAACAATAACAACACCACCAACGGCAGCAGCAACAACATCAACAACCACAACAACAACACCAACACCAACACCAAATACCAACACCAACACCAACACCAACAACAACAACAACAACAACATGCAACAACAACATGCAACAACAACATACAACAACAACAACATACAACAACAACCAACAACAACAACCAACAACAACAACAACATACAACAACAACATACAACAACAACATACAACATACAACATACAACATACAACATAAACAACAACAACAACAACACCAACCACAACCTACAACAACAACAACAACATACAACATACAACATACAACATACAACATACAACAAATACAAATACAACAACAACAACAACATACAACATACAACATACAACATACAACAACAACAACAACAACAACAACAACAACAACATACAACAACAACATACAACAACAACATACAACAACAACATACAACAACAACATACAACAACAACATACAACAACAACATACAACAACAACATACAACAACAACATGCAACAACAACATGCAACAACAACATGCAACAACAACATGCAACAACAACATG